AGAGAGAGAGAGGAAGAATGAAGGGAGGGAGGAAAGGACATATATAATTCAGTGATAGTGGTAAGTGAAAGTGAGGGGAAGTGAAAGCAAGTGGAAGGGTGGGAGAAAAAAGGAACAAAGATAAAGAATAGAAAGAAAAAAGGGTAGCAAATCAAAAGTAAGAAACAATAGTGTGGGAGAGAGCAAACGAGTGAGCATAGGAGCTACAGTGTGATAGAGGGAGAGTGAGAATTGCTTGAAAAATAAGAGGAGAAGTGAGAAAAAGAGAGGGAGGGAGGGAGGGAGAGAGAGACTGTGATGAAGATAGAGCGAGAGGGATAGAAGAGGGAAGGTTCTAAAGAGAGAATAAGTGAGATGGGAGAGAGTGTGAGAGTGGGAGAGAGGAAGAATAGAGAAGAGAGAATATGTGAGGAAGAAAGGGAGGGAAAGAAAGGGAGGGAGAAAATGAAAGGGAGGGAGAAAATAGGGAGAAATAGAGTGAAAGAGAGTGGAGGGGGTTGAGGGGACCTTCCTGCTGCTTTTTGTTTAGCTCTAATGAGGAAACTGTTGATCACCTGTTCTTCACATGCTCTTTTGTTCAACAAGTGTGGACAAATGTGATGAACCATCTCTCTTTTCCCACACTCAGCCACAACTACTAGAATTTCCGAGTTAGTTGAACTGATTGGCAAGTTGGTTCATCTCCCTCATTTCCTAGTATTGTTGCTTGGTTTGTTGGTATGGCTAAGAATCAATCCAAATTTGAAGATAGAGTTCAATCAACAAAAAGAGTCACTACCCACTGCATGACTTTCATTCTAAAGCTTATAAACTTGAGGAAATTTCCCAACTATTCCTATTAGCTCTCTCTTCTATCTTATGATTTCTTACCCATTCTTATAATCACTCCTTCTCTCTTTTCTCACTCTCTCTTCCTTCCTCTCATGATTTCTCTCCTCCTTCTTTTTTTTTCGTCTCTCACTTCTCTCTATGCCTTCTCTCTCTTTACTTGCTCTCTGTTCTCTCTCTAACCTTTGCTATCTCTCTCTCTCTTTGTTTAACTAAATCTGTCTTAATTTCTCACTCTCTCTTTCTTACTCACCTTTTCTCCCTCCCTCACTCTATCTCTCGATCCCTACCTCCCTCTCTCCCTCCCTTCATCTCCTTCATCTCTTTCATCTCTCTTCCCTCTCCCTCTCATTGCCTTTCACTCATTTATATTTTCCATTATTTTTTCACTCCCTCCCTCCTTCCTTTTATCTTGCATAACCTCTTCACTCTCTTGTCTTCCTTCCTTCGATTCTCTCTTTTCTTTCATCTCTCTTCTCCTCTCTTGTATCTCTAACTCTCTCCCTCTCACTCTTCTCTCGTCCCTCACTCACTTCTCTCTTTATCTCCAGTCTTGTCCCCTCTCATTAATTCTTTCTTATTTTATTTCTTCTCTTTGATGTATCCCTTCTTTCTCTTCTTACTCTATCTTCTCATTATAGCCATCTCTCCCACTCCCTCTCCCTTCCTCCTCTCTCACTCTTTGTATCTTCCATGTTTCTATCTCTCTGCATCCCTCTCACCCTCTCTCCATCTATGAGCACTCTCTCATGTCCCTTCTTTCATTTCTACCTCTCCCCCTTTCTCACTCACTTTATTCTCTCTATCTCCCGTGCTCGCTCACTCACTTGATTTCTCCCCCTTATATTTCCTCTCTCTATATCCCTTTCTTTTCTTCCATCTTCTGCTCTCCCTCCATCTCCCTCTCTTCCCTCCTTCCCACCATACGTCCCTCCCTGCCATTAACTCTCTTGCTCCTTACTCCCACTATCCCCACTATTTTAATCTCTCTCGCTAGCATGCTCTTCATCTCTACCTCATTTTGTATTATCTATTTCTCTCTTCTCTCACTGTCTTATGCTTCTTCTCTATTTGTGTCTAACCCTCCCTTATTCTTCATCTCCTCTCTCTTTCTCTTGCTCTACTACTTATTCTTCATCCCCTCTCTCTTTCTCTTGCTCTACTACCATCTCTCTCCTTCATTCTCCCTCTCTCTCTATCTCTTTCCATTCTTTCGCTTTCACTCTCTCTGATTCTCTCCCTATGCTTCTTTTTTTCTCACTTCCCTCTATTACACTCTCTCACTCTTCTCTTCCCATTCTCTTAGTATTGTTTCCATCATTTTTCGCTCCCTCTCTCTCGCAATCCTCCCTCTCTCTCCCCATCTTTCTCTTACTCTCTTTTCTATCTATTCGCTTTCTTGCTGTCTGTTTCTTTCACAATCTATCTTCCCATCTCTATTGCTTTGCTCACTCACTGCCTCTTTCTTTATCTTTCTCCCTCTCACGTACACTTATGCACTCTCTCGTTCTACTCTCCCTAGCTCTATGTCACTCTCCCTGCACCTCTCTCTTACTCTTTCTTCTCTATTCCTCGTTCTCTCCCTTTCCAACCTTCCCTCCCTCATGGTCTCTCTATTATTTTTTATCTTTCTCTCTATTGCTTTGCTCACTCATTCTCTCCCTTTCATTTCTCTCTCTTCTTTCTCTCTCCCTTCCACTATCTCTCCCACTCGTGTCCCCTTAATCTCTCCCTCTCCCACTTCTCTCTATCTTACTGCCTCTTTTGTCCCTCTCTCCTCACTCATCTCTCTTACTCTCTCTAACTCTATCTACTTTCTCTCACTCCCTGTCAATCTCGTACTCTCTTTCACACTTGCTTAGTCTCTTCTTCACTCTTCCATATCTCTCTTCCATTCAAACCCTCAAACACTCCCTTCCTAATTCCATCTTTCTCCCCCTCCTTATCTCCCTTCCTCTTATTATTTCCCACTCCCTCCCTTCCTTTACTCTCTTTATCTTCTTCATATCATTGTCTCTCTCCCTCCCACTTTTTCTCTTTCTATCTCTCCTGCTCTCTCTCTCAATCTCTTTCACTCTCTGTTCTCTAACTCTCTTTCTCCTTATCTCCCTTTCTTTCTCTTTCCCTCTCTTTCCCCTGCTATATCTCTCTCACTCTTCCTCTATCCCTCTCTCTTTCTCTCGTCTTTTTATCTTCCATACCTCCCTCCCTCCCTCACTCCCACTCTCTCTTTGTCTCACTCTCCCTCCCTCCTTCACATACTTTATCTCTTTATTTCACTCTCCCTCCCTCTCTCTCTTTTTACCTCTCTATTGCTCTATCTCTTTTTTATCATCTCTTTCACTCTATCTTCTTTCTCTCAGTCTTTATCACTAGTTTTCTCTCTCTCTCTCTCTCTCCTAATCTCTTTCTTTCATACCCTCTCTCCCACTCTCCGTCTCTTTCTCTATCTCTCTCTTATTCCAACCCATAAATTCTCCCTCCCTACGTTTCTTTTTCTCCCCTACCTATTTCCTTTCCTCTCTTTATTTCCCTCTCTTTCCCCGTCTACCTCTTTTATTATTTATTCTCTCTCTTTTCTCTCTCTCTTTCTCTCTTTTTTCTTTCTCTATCTTGCTTTATTTCCATCTTTCTTTCTCCTTCACTTGTCTATCTCTCTTTCTCTAATTTCATTGCTTGCTCTCTCTCACTTACTCTCCCTCAATTGCTATTAATCTCTCTCCTCTCTCCCATACCCCTCTCTTCCAAACCTTACCTATCTCTCTTCCTTTCTATCTCTCTCTCTGTCTTGCCTCAATCTTTTCCTCTCTCCCACTCCCACTCTCTCTACCTCTCTCCATCCCTCTCTTTATCTCTCTCTCCCTCTCTCCCACTCCCTCCCTCCCTAACTCACTTTCTCCCTCACTCCCTTTCATTTTGTCTTACCCTACCTCTGCTTTCTCTTACAACATACTTATCATATTCTCTCTATCCCTTTCTCTTTTCTAATCTCTGTCATACCTCTCTACAAATCTCTCTCCTTTTTTTCCCTCACTCTATCTCTCCCCCACCCTTTACCTCTCTCATCTCTTTCTCCATATCTCAACCTTCTTATCTTAGTCTCTCTCACATTCTCCCTCGTTCATTCTCTTGCCCTCTCTCTCTTACTTCTCTCTTTATTAATCATCTCTCTCTAACTCTTACTCTCTTCACTCTCTCTCCTTCCCTCCCATAATCCCACTCTCTCTATCTCACTCTCCCTCCCACTTTCATTTCCTTTATCTTTTTATATCACTCTCCCTCCCTACCTCTCTTTTTAACTCTCTCTTACACTACACCTATCTTATCACCTCTCTCACTCTATCTTCTTTCTCTCTCTCTCTGTCACTCACTATTTCTCTCTCTGCCTCTCTATCTCTTTCTTGTCCTCTCTCCCACTCTCCCTCTTTTTCTCAATCTCTTCCTCATTACAGCCCTCAAACGCTCCCTCCCTACGACGTTTTTCTCCCCCTCTCTATCTCCTTTCCTCTTTCTATATTTCCTCTACCATTCCTTCTCTACTCTCTCTACCATCTCACATATTTTTCTCTCTACCTCTCACATTGTCTCTCAATTTCTCTGTGTTCTCTAACTCTCTCTCTTCTTCTCTCTTTCCCTTTCCCTCTTTCTTTCCCTCCCTCTATTTCTCTCTCACTCTTCCTCTGTCCCGCTCTCTTTCTCTCGCCTCTCTATCTTCCCAACACGCTCCCTCTCTTCTTACCTCTCTTTTGCTTCATCTCTCTCCTATCATCTCTACTATTGTTCTCATTCTCTATTACTCTCTCACTCTCTATCACGCTCTCCATATTATCTCTTTTATGCCTTCTCACCCACTCTCTGTCTCTTTCACTATCTCTCCCTCATTCCAACCGTCAACAATCCTTCCCTACTTCCCTTTTTCCCCCCACACTATTTCTTTCCACTCTCTATTTCCCTCTCCCTCCCTTCTCAACTTATCTCTTGTACATTTTCTCTCTCTTTTTTAACTCTCTCTCTCTCTCTTTCTCTTCTTTTTCATTCTCTTTCTCGCTCTATTTCATATTTTCTTTCTCCTTCTCTTGTCTCTCTATCTTTCTTTCTCTAATTCCATTGCTTGCTCTCTCTTACTTTCTCTCTCATCTCTCCCACAACCCTCTCTTACAATCTTTATCTATCTCTCTCCCTTTCTATCTCTCTGTCTCTTACCTCAATATTTCCCTCTCTCCCTCTATCCATCCCACTCTTTATCTCTCTCTCCCTCTCTCACA